CAATATATGATATTATGCTTCCCTCATGTTCTTTGTTCTCTTCCTAAAGAAACACAAAGATATTTATAGACACTAGTGGTCTGCTGTGCAAGAACCAAATTAAACTCAAATTTTATATTTTGAACATATTAAACATATTATGAACATATTAAACATACTAACATTTATCATTTGTGTGCACTGAGGACTGAACTTTGCTCAGGAGGGCTGAGCTCTGTTGCCAAATGGACTTACAAAAGTACGCATGTTTCCTCTTTCCTCTGATATTCATGGAAATGGTAATAACAGCTAAATCAAGAGGACACTAGTGAAGTTAATTTTTCATAGTTCACCAAAGGGTTCCCTCTTAGCCCTGTTAGATACTGTATCTATGGAAAAGGAAAGATGAAAAGAAGTCGGTAGTAACTCAAAATTTTTCTTGCTAGAAAACTAATTGGCTAAAAATGGCTAAAAAATGAAGCTCTATCTTGCAAAAATTGTTCAACAATCAGTATATATTAACAATTTTTGCTATATGATACTGAAAATGACCATCAATGGTGGTCATAATTGACCTAGCTGTTCATTTTCTTTGCTACAATAAGAAGTCAAAATGATTAAAGAAGCTCAAGATCAATAATTCCTGTGAGAGCTATTTTTGTTCCATATGTGGGTGGGTCTAGTACAGCTTGTCAGTATTTCCTCCTCCACATCCTGGCACTACTTAATTAACATTAAAAGATCTAGCCAACCAAATGCTAACAGGCAGTAAATTCAGTAGCACAGGGGCTAAAAAAGCAGAATTTTATTAGCTTATTGCTATTTTTTATAGTATAAACATCTACGACTGCGATTCCATTTTTCAGGGCCATCCCTACTCCATAAGGCATCTTTGTGCCAATTAGAAAAAAGTTGCCCTTTATAGGCTGATGAAGTCTTACACATGTAAGCCTTGATGAAGGAAAAAGAGCTTTTGGCTCACATTTTATCACTCAGCCAGACAGACACCTTTGTGTGGTACAAAAAACTGCTCAACTGTACATGGAGGCCCTGCCCTCCATTCCCTGTCTATCCTTTCAGAACTAAGATAAAGACTTCAACAAAGACTCATATGCTTCCTTTACATTTTTTTTCTTAGATGCACAGGCTTTGTGAGCTCCAAGTCAGTGATAAGTTTAAAAAAAAAAAAAAAGAACAAAGATGCGTGAGCTTTGGAGCACGTGACTTAGGGGTAGTTCTATAATGATAAATCAAGTCTGTTTCCTAATATTTTCATAAATGACCCATCTAGCTCAATAGTTCTCAGCCCTGAGACTCATTAGAATCACCTTGCAAAAGTTTAAAAAAATTCTAATTTCTAAACCTTACTCTAGATGCAACAAATATGTACCACTGTGCCAGAATTTCTAAGGGTGGGACCAAGGCACAAATGTTTTAAAACACACACACACACACGCGGCACAAAAGGCACTCATATGATCCTGATGCCCAGTAAAGAGTGGGGGTTACTGGACCAGTATTTAATCTACATTTTTTTCCATTTCACCAGAGCAGCCAAACACAATGTAAGTTCTTAAACGTATTCTTGCATTAGTTTGTCCTCTTTTTGGACAGTAGGCTCTTTAGGAGAAAGGACTCAACTTTTAAATATCTTTGGTCCTTGTTAAACACAGTAACTTGAAATAGTGTGTTCTCAGATTGTTCGTGGTAGGAAAAAAAGAAGACCCAAAGGATCCAGGTGAAAATACACTTAGTAGTTATTCCTGGCATTGAGATTATGAGTGATATTTTCTTCATTTTCCTATCATATTTGCTAAATGTTCTATCATAAATACATATTGCTTTTGCTACAAAAGAAAATTATCTTTTTAAAATCTGCTGAAATTCCCTAGCATCTCTACAAAAGACAAAGCACTCTACTCCACTTGATGCAGTAAGTGTACTTTTGAAATGCGTACAAATCATATATTCTTATTTTATTATTTTTTGAGGCAGGGCCTTTCTCCGCCACCCAGGCCGAAGTGCAGTGGTGCAATCATGGCTCACTACAGCCCTGACCTTCTGGGTTCAAGAGATCCTCCCACCACAGCCTCCTAAGTAGCTGGGACTACAGGCACATGTCACTATGCCCAGCTAATTTTTGTATTTTTTTATACAAAAAGTAGAGACGGGGTTTCACCTTGTTGCCCAGGCTGGTCTTGAACTCCTGGGCTCAAGCAATCCACCCCTCTGCCTCCCAAAGTGTTGGGATTACAGGCGTAGCCACTGCATGAGGCCTATTCTTATTTTAAAAAGTCACAAGTCTGAGCCCTGATCCTGCCACTCTACTCCATCCTAGGCAAGAGTGAGAACCTGTCTCAAAAAAAAAGAACAAGAAAAATTTCAATCATGTCCCATCTTCTTTGAAAAAGGAATAAATGGCCAGACGCAGTGGCTCAAGTCTGTAATCCCAGCATTCTGGGAGGCTGAGGCGGGTGGATCACCTGAGGTCAGGCGTTCGAGACCAGCCTGACCAACGTGGTGAAACCCCATCACTACTAAAAATACAAAAAAATTTAGCTGCGCATGGTGGCAGGCACCTGTAATCCCAGCTACTAGGGAGACTGAGGCAGAATAGTTTAAACCTGGGAGGCGGAGGATGCAATGAGCTGAGATCGCGCCATTGCACTCCAGCTTGGGCAACAGAGCAAGACTCCGTCTCAAAAAACATAAAAAATGAAAATCCTTTAAATGCCTTTTCTTTTTCATGGTGGCTCACACCTGATCCAGCACTTTGGGGGGCAGAGGCAGGAGGATGGTTTGAGCCCAGGAGTTCTAGGCTATAGTGAGCTATGACAATACGACTGCAGTCCAGACTGAGTGACAGAACTACGCCATCTCTAAAAAAAAAAGAAAACAACAATAAAAAACAAAAACAACCCCAAATGCAATACAAAGAAATTTTACTTTGTGTAGAAATCAGGAAGGACATCATACATTAGATAATCTGAACTGAACATTAGAATAGCAACAGGTGGCCGGGTGTGGTGGCTCACTCTTGTAATCCCAGTATTTTGAGAGGCCGAGGCAGGCAGACTGCTTGAGTCCAGGAGGTGGACACCAGCCTGGACAACATGGTGAAACCCCATCTCTACCAAAAAAAAAAAAAAAAAAAAAAAAAGTACAAAAAAATTAGCTAGGTGTGGTGGCACACACCTGTAGTCCCAGCTACTCTGGAGGCTGAGGTGGGAGGATCCCTTGAGCCAGCGAGGTGGACGTCGCAGTGAGCTGTGTTTGCACCACAGCACTCCAGGCTGGGTGACAGAGCAAGACCCTGTCTCAAAGAAAAAAAAAAAACACAGGTTACTGGATGCTAAGAGTGATGAACAATATAAGGAAAGGTAAGAAGGAACAGGCCATGTTTCATGTTTGTTATTCAGGGAAATTTCAAGTGGGATGAGGTCTTACATACTTTCTATTCTAGGCTTACCAGTCCAAACAACTGTATTCATCCTTTATCTACCAGTGTAGTCCCTACCTCCTCCAAGCCGATTCTCTCCATAAATTTTGATCCCCAGAGTTCTTCCCTGCACTTGCAGTCTGTTACAACCCTGATCTGAGTATGACTGATCTTTTTTTTTTTTTCTTTTAGGTAACCTAAATCAAGGCTTTTTAAAAACTATAAACAGCTATAAAATGCTAGTGATTATTATTCTCTAATTCTTTCGCTAGTAATCAACTTGTAAACCTAATCTTGCCACACCCTGCTTAAATCCTTTCAATCATTTTCCATTTTTCTTAGAAAAGAGGCATAAATCCTTTCAATATCCTACAGATCCTGTAATAACTGGTTCCTGCTTACCCCTCTAGTTTCTTAAGGAGATAAACTTCCTCCCATCACTGAGCAAAAGCTCTGGAAACCTTGTCCTTTACTCCTCTTTTGGCCTAGTTAGTTTCTGCACATACCCAAATCTGTTTTTACTTATCTCAAATCTGTTTTCACTCTCAGAGAACCGTTACCTTGTTACTTTCTGTGAGACAAGTCATCTCAGTTTGTGTTTACGTATCGTTGCTTTGATTACTGAACTGAATATCTCTCCCACTAGAAAATAAACTCCATGAGATCGGGGACATTGCCACTGACATGCCTGGGAATACCAGGCACTCAACTGATACCTGTCGAATGTGTTAGGCTGCCTCTTCCAACTATACTGCAGGCATCCTGATGCCCGCTTTGGCCGGACTGCACTGGGAGTGGCAGGAGGGTTGGGCGCAGAGGAACTAGCCCGCGGATGAGCATAAACTTTTTAAGTAGGAAACATTCCTCAGTCGGCGGTCAGCTTCTCTGGTCTCGCGCGGCTCAAGCTATACTTTGGGGGGACGCTGGACGAAGGCCCTGGCAAGAGAAATGCAGATCCCAGGATCCGCATTCGCCCCCAACGGCAGTCCAGATGCCTGACGCGGCACCCACCTCCCGAAGCAGCTTCAGGTCCCCGTGCTGGATCTCGTACAGCTGAATGACGCCGGTGCCCCGTGCGAAGTTGCCCATGGTCACAAATTTGGCGCTGCAGGGCACCCACTTACAGTCAAACACTGTGTAGTTGAAGCCCTTCTGGATATGGGCGATGATCTGAGGCTTCTCGAAAGCCGACATGGTCCAGCCGATTTCAGCTTCGGCAACTCCACACCCAGAGCCCCCCAAAACACCAACCTGGAAACCAGGCTCCAAACATTGGTAATTTGACCCTCCTGCTTTCCGTACTCTGCCCCAGATGCTCTAGAAAGTTGGCTGTAGTTATCCACGGATAATGCCAGATGCGCTCCTGCGATCTCACAGAATGTTCCTTCACAACAAAACGAATTTGCTTATCGCCTTTACCCACTGCCTTTAGCACACATACATATTAGAGATTACAAACTACTTGGGCTGTGTGTGGCGTGGCTGGAGTGAGATGATGAGCATCAGGCGTATCTTAGGACAGCCTACACACCCTTTCCACCCCGCCCCCAAATTCTGCAGGTCCCCGGTCTGTGGCGTTTTAGGAAAGGGGCGGAGCTGCGGGGGCGGTTGGCGGAGGCTGGGTCCTGCGCTGTGTAGCAGCGCACGTGTTTCAGCCGGAAGTGCTTAAGAATCCCAGGGTTGGAATCCGAAATGGAAGCACAGAGCGCCGTAGCAGAGGAGGGCTTTACCCAGGTCACTCGCAAGGGTGGTCGGCGGGCGAAGAAACGGCAGGCTGAACAGCTGTCCGCAGCGGGAGAGGGCGGGGATGCAGGCCTTATGGACACAGAAGAGGCCAGGCCGGCGAAGAGGCCCGTCTTCCCGCCCCTCTGCGGCGATGGGCTCCTGGTATGTGGCTGGGACCGTGGGACAGCGACGAGGCAAGGGCCAGTGGCCAATCAAGCCGGTGGCCTCTGGGCTATGTTGAAGCTGGGGGGGCTGTTTTGCTGAAATAAGTGATTCTTTGAAGTGTAACTAGTTCAGTTAAAGGAAGCCCTTTGTGGATCAAATGTCATTTTACAACTTCATCACCATGCCTCCATAGTTTCCTGAGTTGTGTGTTCTTTTATTACAGGGTGGGAAAGAAGAAACAAGGAAAATTCCAGTCCCAGCTAACAGATACACACCATTAAAAGAAAACTGGATGAAGATATTTACTCCTATTGTGGAACATTTGGGACTTCAGATACGCTTTAACTTGAAATCAAGGAATGTAGAAATCAGGGTAAGGAAAATCTCAGCCATTTCTCAGCACACCAGGCTTTCTCTCCTACAGAGATGAAAAGGCTTGAATAGACTTTACTTAATGGGACGTATTCTGTTAAATGTTTTTTGTCCAGTTTAAAAATTTACTATATTGAGTTTGAACATCCCAAATGCCTTCAAAATCTGCATTTGATACAAATATTAGTTGAATTTGTAAGTTCTGAGATCATACCAAAATACTGGTTCTGCTTCTGTATATCTTTTATAATGTTGTATGTCAAATTGAGAAAAAGTCGAGTAAAGAGATTGTCATAAATAGAAGTAAACAATGAATATAAGTACTTGCTGCTTTGTAAGAAGTATATACAGTCAACATCAGGGATATGTTCTGAGATACGTTTTGTTAGATGACTTAGTCCTTTTGCAAACATTATAGAGTGTACTTAAACGTAGGTGGTATATTTGTTTATATATCTTTTTAATATGGAAAACCACATGTCCCAGCACCATTACTGAATATCAATCATTTCACCTACTTGATCTGCATTGCTAATATACAGTGCCATATAACAGGTTTCTGTATAGTCTTCATTATACTGTAATGAGACCACCATGATGTGAGCAGTTGGTCATTGATCAAAATGTCATTATGCAGTGCATGACTGTATTTTAATGGTACTCTTGATTTTAAAATGTGTTATTTTGATAAACATGTACGTGTGTGTGTATATATACATACACGTGTGTACATATGTGTGTATATATACATATATGTGTGCACATATATATACACATATATACATATATGAAGATATTTACTCCTATTGTGGAACATTTGGGACTTCAGATACACTTTAACTTGAAATCAAGGAATGTAGAAATCAGGTAATATGTAAATATTACATACATTATATGTATATATGTTTATATATGCACACGTATAATATACATATTATATATGTATATATGTGTATATATACACACGTATATGTAACACACACGTATATATACACACATATATACATATATAATATGTATATTAGTGTGTGTATATATATATGTGTGTGTTTGTGTTTATACCAGAGCACTCCAGGCTGGGTGACAGAGTGAGACCCTGTCTCAAAAAAAAAAAAAAAAAAGCCACAGGTTATTTGTATATGTGTGTATGATGTGTGTGTGTGTGTGTGTGTGTGTGTGTGTGTGTGTGTGTGTATGATGATACATATATGTATGTATATATATATATACACACACACACACACGATCATACATATATGTATGATCATACTATACCAGTTCTGATGGTGGTATCAGAATCCTTAAAAAGGAAAATATAATTTTGGTTATCGATTGACAGCATGGAATTTAAAATGTATATATATATGATATATATATTTTTATATATAAATATAAATATATATAAAATATATATATTTAAAATAAATATATAAAATATAAATTACATATACACACATGATCATACACACACACACACTATATTTCCATATATACACACATACATACACACACATATGTACATATTTTATTTCGCTCTTTCAACCAGGCTGGAGTGCAGTGGCAAGATCTTGGCTTAGTGATAACAGGCGCCCGCCACCACGCCTGGCTAATTTTTGTATCTTTAGTAGAGACTGGGTTTTACCATGTTGGCCAGGCTGGTCTCAAGCTCCTGACCTCAGGTGATCTGCCCGCTTCGGCCTCCCAAAGTGCTGGGATTACAGGTGTGACCCACTGTGCCCAGCCTATATATATGTACTTTAAATTCCATGCTGTCAATCCAGGAAATAGACATTTAAAATTAATTTACTTTGGGCTTTGTTTTTAGGGTACCAATTTCATGCCAGAATCGATAACCAAAATTAATTATATTTTCCTTTTTAAGGATTCTGATACCATCATCAGGACTGGTATAGTCTCATCTCTGTTGATGGAATATAATAATGGAACAAAGAGGCACTATTCTAAATAGTTGTTAAAGTTTAAAATATCACAGAACAAGACAGAGTAACTCCTCTTTGTCCCTGTTGTCATTCCCTCTCATTCAGGCTTTTATGGTTTCCTGCCAAGGAGTCTCGTTTCTTTGTAGGATTCCCTTACTTCATTGTTTTAAGTCTCTCCTGTCTCTACTCATCAATCTGCCAGTGCCAGATTAATTTTCCCAGACCACAATGACGTCTTGGCATCTTCAACATTTCTAAAGGAAAAAGTTTCTGACTTAACTTGCCTTTCAAGTAGGAGATGTAGCCACAGATTTGTCTCTCACCATTTTTTTTACGTCCATACTTTTTAATGGCTTTGCCCTTTGAAGGAGTTCCTCTCCCCCTTACTCCTTTCTCTTTCTGCTTCAGTGCCAGTATCTTTCCGGATCTATCTCAAGTTCATTCTCTGTTATGGTATATCCATTTTTCAGTCATGTCTTCAGTGCCTAAACTTTTCATGTGCTTCATTGTCCTATTTATTGCAGAATCATCACTTTGGATTCCACTAACATTTGTTAATGCTGCCATATACCAGACACACAGTGGTATTGCAGCATGCTCTACATTATTTAGTCTTCAGGATATTCCTCTCTTAAAGATGTGAGGAAACTTGGCCAATAAGCTAGTAAGGGAAATATCTAATAAGGGAATAATAAGAGCTAATAAGGGAAACTTTCTATTATACTAGTAGGGAACACTCAGGGTCTTCCACTCTGACCTCTTTATTTTACTGATGAGAAAACTCAAGACCTGAAGTATCTATGGGACTTGCCTAAGGTCACATATAGGATTGGAACTAGGGTCTAGTTTTAAATGTGAAAGCCTCGGGGACTTTCCCATTACACAAGCCCATATGGTTTTAAATTTGTTGAATACGATTGTGAATGTGTATGGGATAGTGGAAATAACGGTTTTAGAATCAGACCTGTGTTTGAATCTTACTTTTTTTGGTTTCCAGTACTTTCGTTTCCTCATATATGAAGGTATTTGTATCACTTAACATTCCAGGTTTTTGTGAAGGTTAGAATTATGGTATATAAAGCGTGTTATTTATAGTACATGTTATTTACAATGGTAGGCATTTTATGAATGACAGGTATTTCTGCATTTATCAAATAAACTTTGATGACAGGATCAGTACTTCAATCATTCTTGATTTCCCTTGTCAGTGTGTGCAGGTAGTTAGGCCTGGAGCTGTTGATTTAAGAAACATCAGCATATAAATGATAACTAAGTCAGAAGATTAAGTCAGGACTCCCAGGGAAGACTGCCTCAATGGAAAAGAGAGTTAGGACAGGCTTGGGCATTGAAGGGATGGGCAGAACGTAGAGGTCCTTCAGAATGCGAGAGATTGGGTTGTGCTAGAGGAGTCTTGCTGTTAACCCCAAAATCTGACCATACAGTGCAGTTAGTTATTTGACACTCTTTGGGTGGAACGGCCAAGCTTTGGAACTGGAAAGGTCTTGTTTTGCAAATGAAATATTGCACTTACCCCACCAGAACCTGTGTCATACAGAATATATTGGGAGAAGGTGGTGAAGGAAATTCTCTAATAATGGGAAAGGACATTTCTAGTATTTTGTTAGAACATTTTCTGTTTGATTCTCAACTGTATTTTGTACCTTTTTTGTTTTTTAACAGACTTGTAAAGAAACCAAGGATGTTAGTGCTCTGACAAAAGCAGCTGATTTTGTGAAAGCCTTTATTCTCGGCTTTCAGGTGGAGGTGAGTAAGTCCATGACAGCTAAAATGAGGATTTGCAAAATACTCAGTGTGAACATTTCAATGGATTAGGCATTGAAAAAAATAATAAAATAGGCCAGGCGCAGTGGCCCACGCCTGTAATCCCAGCACTTTGGGAGGCCAGGAGTTCGAAACCAGCCTAGCCAACATGGTAATACCCTATCTGTACTGAAAATACAAAAAGTTTATTTTTCTTCTTTTTTTTTTTTTTCTTTTCTTTTTTGTCACACTTTCTATCATTCACTAGAAAATACAAAAAATTTAGCCAGGTATGGTGGTACATGCCTGTGGTCCCACCTGCTTGGGAGGCTGAGGTGGGAAAATTGCTCAAACCCGGGAGGCAGAGGTTGCAGTGAGTTGAGATCACACCACTTCACTCCACCCTGGGCAACAGAGCAAGACTCTGTCTCCAAAAAAAAAAAAAAAGCTTTCTAGCTCTAGAGTGTATGGATTTTAGTTCCATAGAGCTTTGCACTTGACTCTTTCTCAGGCGTGCAAATGGAAGGGGCGTCAACAGTGTTTGTTTTTATATTATAGGATGCACTTGCTCTCATCAGGTTGGATGACCTCTTCCTAGAGTCTTTTGAAATTACAGATGGTGAGTATGTGGTGGTCTTTTCCTGTGAAATGCTGTGTCTTGCGTCGCTGACTTTGTATTGTGATGTGAATCTCAGTTTTCTAATAGCATCAATTAAGCTGTATTTTTAGCAACTTTTAAAAATATATATACTGGCCAGGTGTGGTGGCCCATGCCTGTAATCCCAGCACTTTGGGAGGCCGAGGCGGGCGGATCATGAGGTCAAGAGTTCAAGACCATCCTGGCCAACATGGTGAAACCCCATCTCTACTAAAAATACAAAAATTAGCTGGACACCCACCTGTTATCCCAGCTACTCAGGAGGCTGAGGCAGGGGAATTGCTTGAACACAGGAGGCAGAAGTTGCGGTGGGCCAAGATAGTGCCACTGCACTCTAGCCTGGCAGCAGTGCAAGACTGCTACTCAAAAAAATAAAATCAATATATATATACTTGTGTTATTTAGGGAAATTTAGTTTATGATTAAACTTTATGTGGAAGTGGGTGGTGCACTGGAATGATTTACCTCCTGAGGTCTTGCTTTTCTTGTTTAGTTAAACCCTTAAAGGGAGACCATCTATCTAGGGCAATAGGAAGAATTGCTGGCAAAGGAGGAAAAACCAAATTCACCATAGAGAATGTGACACGGACACGGATAGTTTTGGCTGATGTGTAAGTATTTATTCTTGACAAAATTATTTTCGTAATTTATATTTGATCTTTTGTTTTAAAACAGAACAGTTGTATTTTATGTATAATGTTGCTGCTAAATATTTGTCTGTATAGATGCTCCTTGTAAACCCATTGTAAATTGAAAATATTGTAAGTCTAAAATGCATTTAATATACCTGACTTATGGAACATTATAGCTTAGCCTAGCCTATCATAAATGTGGTCAGAACACACATTAGCCTACAGTTGGGCAAAGTTATCCAACACAAATCCTACTTTATGACAGAGTGTTAAATATTGAATTCTGTACTAAAAATGAAAAACAGAATAGTTGTATGTGTATTTGAAGTAGAGCATTCTGAATGTATATCACCTTTGCACCCTTGTAAAGTCGAAAAATCCCAAGTCGAACCATCTTAAGTTGGGAATCATCTGTATTCTTCTGGGTGAATGGTCACCAACTTTGAAAGAGGCTTAAGTTGAGGAAATTTCAAAAATTATATGTCTTTTTCTCATTTAGCAATGAGGAAATGTTTAGAAATGCTATTAAAAGAAATTATTATTACAGATGAAGATTTAAATAATATCTCAGGTCAGGCACAGTGGCTCACACCTGTAATCCCAGCACTTTGGGAGGCCAAGGCGGGCGGATCACCTAGGGTCAGGAGTTCGAGACCAGCTTGGCCAACATGGTGAAACACCATCTCTACTAAAAATACAAAAATTAACCGAGCATAGATGGCACATGCCTGTAGTCCCAGCTACTTGGGAGGCTAAGGCAGGAGAATCCCTTGAACCTGGGAGAAAGAGGTTTCAGTGAGCCATGCCATTGCACTCCAGCCTGGGTGACAGAGCAAGACCCTGTCTCCCAAAAATAAATAAATAAGTAAATAAAATCTCAAGGGAATCTATTAAATTAGTAGGGGAGAACAAGCAATCAGTATTTCAAATGCCAGTATGAGTCTTCACCTTTTATAAAAGGAAGGGGAATATCGTACATTAGGCAAAGCTAGAGAGCAGTTATATGTGAACATAAATAAGATGATAGGGGCTTAAAATAAAGGTGCCAGAAGTGAAGCTGGGATTACCCCTGTCTGAGGTTGAAGCTGCTGTGTTGCCAGTTGGGGATCTTACTGGCAGATGGCTCAGAGATTATATAATACTATGAAGTTAGGAAACTGAACAGTTGACTGAGAGTAGGAGGGATCTGCCTGCGACTAAATCCTGAAATAATTTCATTTAATATCTCAATTTTGCTCTACACTGAAGGACTCATCATTATATAGAATCTAAATTTTATACATTCTTTATATTTTAAGGATAACTATACTACTGTATGGGTGGCCCTCTTTACCTGAAGCCAAGTATATGGTTATATTGTTGATCTTTTATGGATTGAGCCTAGAGTCAGAAATAGGGAGCCTTGGGAGAAGCTTTTTTGAACTAGAAATTTCAAAAATGTGGAAATGCACACCACATTTAAAAGTATGGCCAGACTTGGTGGCTCACACCTGTAATCCCAGCACTTTGGGAGGTGAGGCAGGTGGATGGCTTGAGCTCAGGAGTTTGAGACTAGCCTGGGCAACTTGGCAAAACCCCTTCTCTATAAAAAAATACAAAAATTAGCGGGGTGTAGCAGCCCACACCTGTAGTCCCAGCTACTCAGGAGGCTGAAGTGGGAAGATCTCCTGAGCCCAGGAGGCTGAAGCTGCAATGAACCATGATCATGCTACTGTACTCCAGACTGGGTGACAGAGTGAGACTCACAAAATGAAAATAAAAATACTATACATAGTCTGAGCACAGAGGCCAAGGTGGAAGGAAGAATTGCTTGAGCCTCAAAGTTCAAGACCAGTATGGGCAACATAAGGAGATCCCATCTCTTCAAAAAATATAAAAATTAAACAGGTGTGATTGTCCACACCCATAGCTCTAGCTACTCAGAAGGCTCAGGTAGGAGGATTTCTTGAACCCAGGATGTCAAGGCCACAGTGAACCATGATGGCACCTCGGCACTCTAGCCTGAGTGACAAGAGTGAAACCCTGTATCAAAAAAATTAATTAATTTTTCAAAATCCATATACAGATGTTCCCCACTGTATGGTGGAGCTATATCCAGACAAACCTATTATAAATTAAAGATCTTGTAAGTCAAAAGTTCACTTTTGTCTTAGGATACTTCTTTTTAAAAATTGAAGAGCATTCTGAATGTGTATCACTTCACACAATTATAAAGTCAAAAAAAAATCTTCAGTCATCACTAAGTCATGGATTGGCTGAGTAGCCCTAAAAACTTTTATGAATTTAGAAATCCATGGCTGGGCGCAGTGGCTCATACCTGTAATCCTAGCACTTTGGGAGGCCAAAGTGGGTGGGTCACTTGAGGTCAGGAGTTCAAAACCAGCCTTGCCAACATGGTGAAAACCAGTCTCTACCAAAAATTCAAAAAAATTAGCTAGGGGTGGTAGTACATTCCTGTAATCCCAGTTACTTGGGAGGCTGAGGCAGAAGAATTGCTTGAACACGGGAGGCAGAGACTGCAGTGAGCCAAGATCAAGCCACTGCACTCCAGTCTCGGTGACGGAACAAGACTCTGTCTCAAAAAAAAAAAAAAAAAGAGAATTTAGAAATCCAAAACTGTAACTGATTTGCCAATGAAATTATAATCTGTCATTAAGTTTATCACTGGTAAATTTTATAAATATTAACCTAAAATTTACTAGTTGAACTAACTTTTTAAAAGTTCATTGTGGCATAATTTACATACAGTAAAATTCTCCTGTTTTAAGGGTCCAGTTCAATGAGTTTTTGGCTAATGTTTATGTATTGTAGTCCCCTAACACTCATACAGTTCTCTTACTCTGGAAAATTCCTTTGTCCATCTTTATGGTCAGTTGCCTGCCCCAGCCCTGTTCTGGGACAACCACTGCTCTAATTTCTGTCACTTTTATCTTGCCTTTTCTAGAAATTCACATAAATGGAAATCCACAGTATATAGGCTTTGCTGTATGACTTCTCTTGATTAGCATGTTATTTTGAACTCCTTCATTTTGTTGGGTGTGTCAGTAGTTCCTTTTTATTGGCAAGTACTATTTCATTGCATAGATATACTGTTGATCCTTGAGTATTGCAGGGATTACGGATGCCGAACCTCCAACATGGCTGAAAATCCATATATGACTTGACTCTCCCAAAACTTTACTGCTGCTGGCCGAAAGTTATACCCATAACAAACAATTGATAAACACATATTTTGTATGTTACATGTATTATATACTGCACTCCTTCATAAAGTAAGCTAAGAAAAGAAAATGTTATTAAAAATCATAAGAGAAAATCGATTTACTACTCATTAAGTGGAAGTGGATCATCATAAAGGTCTCCATCCTTGTTTGCATGGATGTTTGCAGGGGTTAATCTTGCTGTCTCATGGGTGGCAGAGGTGGAAGATGTGGAAGGGGAGGCAGAAGAGGCAGGCATACTCTGGAACTTTATGGAAGTACATTATAATTTCTGACTTTTTTATCCTTTCACTTCTCTATGGGGTACCAGTCCTCCTCCACAGTTTTAGTTTCAGTGCCCATATCATAAAAGGATCTGTCATAAAAGATATCAAAAGAATCTTGAATAATCAGAAACCCTCTGCCAAATTGTCTAATGTCACCCTTTCTGACACTGCTGCTTCTACATCCTCCTCCTCATCACCTGGCACTGCTTTGGAAGCGCTTACCTCCATCAAGTTGTCTTCCGTTAATTCCTCTGATATGGTGTCTGTTAGCTCTTGAATTTCTCTGAGATCCATATCTTGAAACCCTTCACCCCTTACTTTTTGCCATAGCCACAGTCTCTTTCATAATTTCTTGGTTGGCTCTGTCATAAATCTTATAATGTCATACAAAACCTCTGGACACGTCCTTCTCCAGCAGAAATTTATAGTTGCAGGCGTGAGGCTTTCACAGCTTTTTCCATAATAATGACAGTGTCTTCAGTGGCTTAGTCCTTCCAGACTTTTGTTACGTTCTTTCTTTCAAGTTCTATTCCATATCATTGACAGTATTTTTCATAGAGTACTGTGTGTAATGAACCTTAAAGGTCTTCATGACTACCTGATCTGGAGGCTGAATTATTTAGGGGCAAGGAGACAACTTTGTTGCCTTCTTCTTCCAGCCACCCAGAACCCCATGAGTTTACACCCAGAACCCCATGAGTTCAGCGTTGAACTCATGGGGTTCTGGGCGGCTGGGACATAGCTCAATATCAAAAGAACTTTAAAACTCATTCCCTACTAGCAGGATACTTCCTGACTTCAGGGACAAAGCATCAATGGAATCAATCCAGAAAAAGAGCTGTCTTTGTCCAAGCCTTCTTGTACATCGAAAAAACAGGCCACTGGTGTTTACCTTTTCCCTTTAAGGATTGGGATTAGCAGCTTTATAGATAAGGGCAGTCCTGATCATAAACCTGAGTGCATTTAAACAAAACAGTAAAGTTAGCCTATCCCTTCCTGCCTTAAATCCTGGTGCTTGCTTCTCTTCTTTACTAATGATTGCCCTTTGTGACTTTTTTTTTCCCGAACAGGACACTTTTCATGTTCACAACAAACCTGTTCAGGCAGATGCTATTTCTCCTCAATGATTTTTGTAATGGCATCTGGGAACTCGTCTGCTGCCCCTTGGTGACCAGAAGCTGCTACTCTGTTAGCCTGACATGTTTAAAGCCACCTGTTTCTAACATAATCAAACCATCCTTTGCTGGCATTAAGTTCTCCAGCTTTAGATCTTTTACTTTCCTTTTTCTGTAGGTTGTCACTTAATGACTTCATTTTTTTCTCAATCATATTTGAGTCTATAGACATGTTCTTTTTAGAACAATCTCGCACCCACATAAAAGCTACATTTCCAATTTGAGATTGTCAACAAAAGAATCACAAGATTTATAAATTCAGAGAGGAAACTTTATTTCTTATAAAGGGTTGCAGTCTGCAGAGTGGCTATTCTGACAGGCTTGGGAAGTGTGGCCTTCGGCAGAGACCAAAAGCAGACACTTTGAAGAAGGAAAAGGAGACAGGGATTTATGCTGAATGGGTGAGCCAAGTATACTTATTTAACAGGTTATAGGAGGAGCTATGAATATTTATAAGAGAGGTCCTAATGCATGTATACTGAATAAATGTAACATACAACCTCTGGTCGCTGTGGGGTGGAGACTTAACATTGAAAATACATGACAGTTAGACCCTGTATGTTACAAGATGATGTAGGGACAGGGACATGAAGGCACTGAATACACCGCCTCTGGAAGCGGGTAGAACCGGTCCATAGTCAGTGGCCTCTTATTAGGAGAATGTTACTGGAATAAGTCTCTTGTCCATTCAAAGCTGTAGTTATGGCTTGTAGAACAGGGCATGGGAAGAGGGAAGCTGGGGTCAATCTGTATCCAGCTATTGGTGAGCTGTAATTGTTTTAATATTGTTTATTAAAAGGCCAGTGCTTGTAAGCTGCTATAGAAAAAGAAAAATATCTGTGGCAGTTAGAATGTTTACTACTTATGTGTAGGGTGTGTGGCTTAACCCTTGCCTGGGTGGTCATAGGTCTTATTACAATTTGATATTTTATTGCCATGGTCTGTTCTGTCTTTCTTAGAGGCTTTATTTTTGTTTTATAAGATAAAGGGGAATTTGGCAGAACTGCAGGTGTTTTACATCTGCTGTTGTAGCTGCAGTGACAGCTGCATGAATTTCCTTTTCCTTTTTTTACAGTGGTCCTATGGTAGATTCATTTATCTTGAAGTGGCAGGCAGCTGCGGCTGCAGGCCTCAGACAGCAGTATGTATCAGGCAGTTCAGCTTTTTCCTGTACTGTCATGACTTCTGTGCTTCTTTGGAGCACTTCCAACAGCACTAGTGGCACTTCGTGTGGGTCCTTGCTGTTACTGAAAGCTTACAATATTGCATTAAAGATTAAAAATAGGCAAGAACCACGAGAGATCACTTTTTACTGATAGGCAATTTACTGGAGAGTGAAAACTGCTTATGGGAGATGATCAGCATCACATGGCATTTTAAGTGGATACTTAAAACACCTGAGGTCACCCCAAGAGCAATAGGCAGTGGCTGTGAAATTATTACAGTAGTACAGTATGCACTACAGTTAATTTTATGGAGTTATGATTTCATACCGCATCTTTGCATTTGTTTCCATTTCTCTAGACTACAAATGGCAACATATATGGTTTGTGTTTGTGTGGGTAAGTTTTGATGAATTTTAACTTTTTATAATAAATTTGTGTATATTTTATGGTAGTAAATGATAAAATAGACTAGTACCTACATACAATTCATATATTTGTGACATTGCTTTTTCTTAATGTTTTGGACATTTCTACAATACTCAGCTCCTCTGTGGGTCTTCTCAAATCTCGACTGGACCCGTGCAGTTCAAACCTGCGTTGTTCAGAAGTCAGCTGTATTACATTTTGTTTATCCATTCACAGTTGCTGGATATTTGGGTTGTTTTCAGTTTGTGGCTATTATGAATAATGTTGCTATTGAATTACTTACAAACTGAATTACAAACTACTTGAAATTAAGAGATGTACTGTCTCTTGCTTTTGCTATTCACAGGCTAGTTAGAAAATCCATGTTTAACAGTTTATATTAATTATAATAAAGCTGTTAAGATGGGCTGTTATGTACCTATAAATGTTATTTCTGATGAGTTGCTAATAACCTGGCAAAATATAATGTGAGCCAGATAGAAAACTAAAAATAATTGGTTCCAGGCATATTTAGTATAGCAGATGGGAAATGATGTTGCCTATGTGTCTTGAAACCTCCATTGCTTTCCAACTATTGCCCCATTACTTTGGTTCTTTCCGCAGCAAAACTATTCCCACTTTATCTGTTCTTGTTGTCTTTATTTCCTCATCTTTCATGCTCTATTTTAAATAATTTTAATCAAAGTTAAACATATACGTAGTTTGAAAAAGCCCAAAATTTCTGCTGCCTACCTCCATTTCACCCTTTTCAGGGGAACCAATTTTGACTATTTTAGCTATTCTTAAATTATCCTATATTTTCAGATATTCTGTTTATGTACAGCCTCTTGTTTTATTTTTTAGATTCACTATTGACTTTCTGCCATGAAAAATGAAGATTTAGCTGGCTTTCACCCCCTTATTTCACCACACACACTCAGCCTTTCTGACACTCTGATTTATTCCTCTCTGTCCTCCTGATAGTCCCCTTGTGGTTTTTCTTAGATTAGTGTTCAGTATTACCTGAAAACAGAAATCAGTGCTCAGTGTACTTACAGCTGAGCCAGGTAAAACACTGTGACTGCCTTATCTTTCTTTTGCAGCATTATTTTCACTTGAGGAAGTCTTATGTGTCTATGTGCTTTCTTCATTTTCAGTGTACTAATTCAGTAAGAAGCTAGATGTTGTCTGTATCTCCTCTTGATGTATTCGAATGCATCTAATATGTGAGAAACCTCTCCTGGAGACATCTGTTCCAAAAGCGCCCCCATGCTCTCTGCCTGCATTCTGGCTACACAGCCATCATCCTGGGTTCCCTGTGCCCTTGGCCCCTCTGTGTTAGAATACCCTGGCTCTTGGAGTCTCTGTCTTGGAGTTCTGCTTCTTGATATTCCCACTGCTGATTTGACATCAGTTGACTTGGGTCTGCACAGTCAGTTCCATCTTATCCATCTGCTTTCCATCTTTCTGGATTTTGTTACTGTTATCACTTTCTCCTTCTCATATTATTATTGTCATTTTAGTGGAATTTGGGGAAGGAGCATCTGTAAATGTTTGTTCTGTTCATCTGCAGGTGTCTGGAGGAAGAGCATTACAGAGGAAGGGAAAAGCACAGAGGTCTTGAGTTGAGGGCTCATCTAGCAGTTGCCAGTGAGCAAGGAGCTTGGCTGAGTACAAAAGGGAGAGAGTGGAGAGTGATAGATAAGGCCTTGAGGTCATCATAAGGACTTTGGCTTTTACTCTGAGTGAATAGAAACTCTTTGGATGATTGTGAATAGAGAAAGGGAGATGGGATGTGAGGGCATGAGGGGCAGTGAAGGTAGGTAGGATCCACAGATGGGAGGTCCTGGTGGGAGTAAAGGATTATTGGTGTTGATAGGAGCTGGAATGACAGAAAGTGGTAGAGAGAAAGTTGGATGTTTGAAATTGAAATTATGAGGGGTTGCAGCTTTTGCTATTGACCAAGTTCAGGGTGTGACCATGGATATAAGAGGCTGGAGTAGGGTGGAAAACAAGACCCCATCTTGGCATAAAGGATATCAAGGACCCGAGAGGCTGGCATATTGGGATTATCGTCTTCATGGGTATTGACATGATCGAGCATGGTGATGAGAATAGCAAGAGAAAGACAGTGAGCCAGGAGCAGACCTCTTCGCAAGTGATCGATCTGCAGGGGCAGCTGAGGACCGCAGCCAAGCAGGGTGGTAGATGATGTGGCCTGAGAGCAGATCCAAAGCCAGAGGGTTTTTAGGGAGGCAGGAGGGAAAGCATGTGGTCTGGATGTGGCATGAGGAGCCAAGGTACCTGCTCCTCCCCCAGGCCTAGAGATAACCTGCAGAGGAAAAGCTGGCCACCACTTGAGAACTGGCCTTAGTGAAAACCAGAGATGAATGGAATATTAACAGGGGTTGAAGATATAGGAGCTTTGCTGATAACTATTGTACAGGGCACAGTGAAAACAGTTTGGAAAATGGACTACAAAAGGCAAAATTGTATCTTGTCAGTTTTGTCATTCAGTAAAGAATGCCCATTAAAAGGGTCTGGATGATCCTCAGACCCTTGAAGAAATTTAGATAATCTTTAGAAAACTTTGCAGTTGAAAACCAGAGGAAATTGAGTTCAGTACTGCATTTCTGGGTATTCACTAACTAGCTCTGCCAGAGTGTTGTCTTGGGCAGGCTTTTTGATTTCTTACAAACTTCTTTCCTGATCTGTAAAACAGGAATAACGTCACCTGATAAAGGTCAAGTGAGGATTAAATGAAGGCATGCATAGAAGCAGGCTGGGAGCCATCATTAACTATGAATCTTCACAGACTTGACTTTAAAAAAAAATTGTCTTTTCAAATAATTTTTTATTGAGATATAATTCATATACCATAAAATTCACCCTTATTAAAAAGTGGTTTTTAGTATATTTGTGGAGTTGTGCAGCCATCACCAGCATTTCTGGAGTACAGGACTTAGGTAAGGAAATGCTTTTTTGTTTCTAATGTGTCTTTTTTGTTGTTGTTTAAAGAGGGTTTTGCTGTCACTCAGGTTGGCATGTAGTGGCACTCTATAGGCATATGCTACTATGCCCAGCTGTTTTAACTTTTGTGTAGAGATGGGGTCTCATTATGTTGTCCAGGCTTGTCTCAAACTCCTGGCCTCAAATGATCTTTCCACCTTGGCCTCCCAGAGTGCTGGGATTACAGGTATGAGTCATGGCATCTCAGCCACTAATTCGTCTCATTTTATTTCTTTCAGGAAAGTTCACATCCTTGGCTCCTTCCAAAACATCAAGATGGCAAGAACTGCCATTTGCAACCTAATCTTGGGTAATAGCAGTTCTTTGTCGTTTTAATTTCGGAAGTCAAACTACATTTGCAAAGGAGTTTAGGGTAATAGGGTAATATTAAAGATAGCAAGTAGACACCCTTGGGAGATGGCAAATGTGGGCCTAGAGAAAGAATCAGAATTTTTTTTTTTTTTTTTTGAGACAGTCTCGCTCTGTCGCCCAGGCTGGAGTGCAGTGGTACGATTTTGGCTCACTACAGCCTCTGACTCCCGGGTTCAAGCAATTCATCTGCCTCAGACTCCTGAGTAGCTGGGACTAGAGGTGCATTTTTATGTTTTTAGTAGAGACGGGGTTCCACCATATTGGCCAAGCTGGTCTCAAACTCCTGACTTTGTGATCTGCCCTCCTTGGCCTCCCAAAGTGCTGGGATTACAGGCGTGAGCCACCGCACCAGACCAGAAGTAGAAATATTTTTGCTTAGATTCCATTTGTCTGCAAGAGAAGAGAAAGTGTTTATTGGGTAATATTGCTCAAATCTTTGCTGCTTTCCTGATAAGGTACAGAGAAAAACCATTTTAGAATAGAAGGGAACGTCACATTTTAGGTTCAACAGAGGAGCTGCTGAACTGCTTCAGGAAATTTAATTGATTCACTTAACCCATTTTCTTGATCCTGCAGCAAAGTTAGTACCTTCTGATAAGGTACAAGATCTTAGCGGCTTGCTCAGAAAACGTGGGATTCTCTGGTTCCCAGGTCTTAGTAATTGGCTTCTTTTTAAAATATTTTGACAACTCAGTGCTTTTTGCTCTTAGAAGTTTAAAATAGTTTTTGGAGAATATTTGGGTATTATTTCCTTTAAGGTTTTTTTTTTTTTTGTAATTTCCAATTAAAGAAAATGTCTCTGTCCTGTTCTTTTTAGGGTTCTAGACCCTTTTTCATGTACAGTCTGCCCGCTGTATCTGCAAGGTCCAAATCTGCGGATCCAACCAACAACAGATCAGAGACTCAGAAAAAAATAATAATGGCAAAAAATAATACAGATTTTAAAATACAGTATTAACAACTATTTACATAGCGTTTACATTGTATTAGGTATTATAAGTAATCTAGAGATGATTTAAAGTACACGGGAGGATGTATGTAGTTAATGTGCCTATTTTTTAATATATGAGACGAGCATCCAGGGATTGTGGTGTCTGTGGGAGTCCTGTAACCAGTCTTCCCTAGACATTGAGGGATAGCTGTAGGCTCTGTAAATGTGAGTTTATTTATATATATACTTTTTTCCCCCGCTTTGCAGGAAATCCTCCTTCCAAGGTTTATGGCAATATTCGAGCTGTGGCTAGCAGATCAGCAGATCGATTCTGATTTCAAGTCAGAGACTTTTTATCTTGCCTTTGGACTCTGCAGAAAAATACTTTATGGGTGGTCACAAGAAACCATCTGAAAAATTGCAGTCATTTGAAGCCTCCATCCTCTCTTCATTCTCAGCCAGAAGCATAAAAAGAAAAGTTTAAGAGTATTCACACTGAACAGATTTTAGGATAATTTAAATATCAAAAATTGATTCTATTATACCCACACATTAGATATAATTTATCATTTCTTTGAAATCACTTGTAGCAGACTGCATAGTTTATAATCCTCTTGGTAACTTCTTGTTTAAACAGCGCTATGTGAATTTATACTTTTATAAATTCATAACTTCATAAAAATTTATAAACATTTCTTCTTTATAAATTGTAATTTAATAGATTATCTTAGAAAAACTCTCATGATGACCCCTTCTTAATACTGGGTAATGTGAATAATTTTTTGTGGGGGGACCAGGTCCGACTTTGTCACCCAGGCTGGAGCGCAGTGATGCAATCTTACATTGCTCACAGCAACCTCTACCCTGTGGGTTCAAGTGATCCTCCTACCTCAGCCTCCCTAGTAGCTGGGACTACAGGCATCCACCACCACACCCAGCTAATTTTTTGTAGAGATAGGGTTTCACATGTTGGCCAGGCTGGTCTCGAACTTCTGACCTTAAGGGATCTTCCTGCCTCAGCCTCCCAGAGTGCTGGGATTACAGGCATGAGCCACCGTGCCCAGCCTTGATTTGTGAATATTTGAGAGGTCATAAGCAGTTGTTTTGGCTGTATTATACTGTATGAATCAGTAAGAGCTCATCTTGGAACCTGTTTTGCAGTTTTAAAAACTGAAGAATTATATCACAGGGTTGATATGAATAAAGTTTTATTTTTTAAATGATCATTTAAAGAAAGTATACATAACCAATGTTAGATATACAGATGCTTCTCAACTTACGATGGGTTTATGTCCAGATAAGCCCACTGTGAGTTGAAAATACCAAAAGTTGAACATCATAGCTTAGCTTACCCTAAAAGTGCTCTGAACACTACATTGGCCTACAGTTGGGCAAAATTGTCTAATACAAAGCCTATTTATAATAGTGTTGAATATCTCATGTAATTTTTCAAGATTACACTGAAAGTGAAAAACAGAATGGTTGTGTGGGTACTTGAAGTATGGCTTCCACTTAATAATTCTAAAATTGAAAAATAAGTTAGAACCATCCCAAGTCTGTTTCCTCTAAATAGTAAAGGTGAAATGATAAAAGAATGGTTTTCTCACCCAAAAAACTGTTCTATAAATGCAGATTAGCTCATTTCTGCCTGTTTAAATAGTATATGATTATTTTCTGTATTGTAAAATGGAAGCAACTTAATTAAACATGACTTTGATAATTCTCTTGTGCATCTCTAAAACCCTTGATGAAAACATGTAAACTTCAGTGATGGGAGTATTAGAAAGTTCATGTAAGAACTAAAACATTGTTAAGCTTGTTTCCTTTGTATCAGTTAAATGTGCCACTGTTTAAGATAGTTTGTACAGTGCATGGGAAATTTGTTCATTTATGCTTTTTTTGCAAAATACTTGAGAATCCAACTGAAAATTGCTGAATATGTCCCACCTCAAATTATTTTTTGTCCTTTGGCAACACCAGCATGGAGCAAGGATGTGTACAGTGATACCAGATCCCTTTACTCATACCTTTTTTAAAAGACAAACACTTGGGACTTTTTTATTCTGAGTCTGTACAGGTTTCCAGAGGCCTTTGCCTACCTTCACCCTTCACCCAGGAAGTTCTGTTCAAAATTGTGACTACCTAGTATACTTTCCTGGGAATGGGTCCATGCCTGCAATCAGGTTTTCCAAGCACTTGGACTGCATTGAACCATTGCTAGGTAACCATAAATGTTTTGAATCAACTTTCAAGGAACAGAAGCAGGAAGTTAAAAGCATCGGCCAGGCGCGGTGGCTGAAGCCTGTAATCCCAGCACTGTGGGAGGCCGAGGCGGGTGGATCACAAGGTCAAGAGATCGAGACCATCCTGGTCAACATGGTGAAACCCCGTCTCTACTAAAAATACAAAAAATTAGCTGGGCATGGTGGCGCGTGCCTGTAATCCCAGCTACTCAGGAGGCTGAGGCAGAAGAATTGCCTGAACCCGGGAGGTGGAGGTTGTGGTGAGCCGAGATCGCGCCATTGCACTCCAGCCTGGGTAACATGAGTGAAACTCCGTCTCAAAAAAAAAAAAAAAAGCATCATTTCAATTGGGAAAATATGGGTTCTCTGTATGAAAGGGAAACATTTTGGTATTGTCCAAATTACTTCCTTTATCCTTTATTATATCTTGTGTAATTACAACTGTAATACAAGAGAGCAAATATATTTTCGTAGCAGCTGCTAAGATTTGGAATGCTGAACTTTGCTTTAAGGACTTGCTTTACTCCCCCGCCCCACTTAGTTAAGTGTTTGTATCTCCTGTTCCCCAGAGTAGTAGTACTACTTGGGGCTTTTGAAAGGGAGAGAAAATGTTAGAGGGGAACTCAACTAACTCTTGGGATGGAAAGGAGTAGAGGTAAGAAACTTGAGTATCATACTGACAGTTGATCTTAACAACCTAGATCAAATACCTTCAATTAAACCCTTCTCTAAGGCCAAGACAACTAAGTCTAATACTTCCAACCTTATGTTTCTATGGCACTTGTCAAGCTATATTGTAATTATTGTGTCTGCCTGCCATCCTAAGGCCTCTTATGATTTTGGATACTCAGTATCTGGTACAATTCCTGACATACACTTTACATATATATTCATTGATACATTGCCAGGGGGATGGGCCTGAGAGAAGAGCATTTTCTTAGGTATTTGTGGCTGACAAGGGAGGAGACCCATGGGGGTTCCTCCTAGTCACTCCCTCCAGAAAATCTGGGCTCGAACTCTCATGCCACCTAGAATAAGATGGTAGATATGAAAGAAAGCTCATGCCCATTGGATAGTCATCTTGTCTACTTTTACAACTGTTAGAAGTAGGTTTAAAAAAAAAAGTTGGGTGCAGTGGCTTAAGCCTGTAATCCTGACACTGGGAGGTCAAGGTGGGAGGACCGCTTAAGCCCAGGAGTTCAAGACCAGCCTGGCAACATAGCAACACCCTGTCTCAACAAAACAAAAACAGCCAAGCACTGGCATGCATCTGTGGTTCCAGCTACTCTGGAGGCTGAGGTAGGACTGCTTGACACCGGGAGATTGAGACTGATTGCCACTGCACTCCAGCCCAGAACAGAACAAGACCCTGTCTCAAAGAAAAAAAAAAAGTTTGAGTGCTTAAATCCGTCTACTTGCTTAGGCTTAACAAACCTTTACTCCTGGGATAGTTTTTGCACTCCAGCCTGGGCAACAGATGAGTCTCACTCTGTTGCCCAGGCTGGAATGCAATGGTGTGCTCTCAGCCCACTGCAACCTCCACCTCCCAGTTCAAGCAATTCCCTGCCTCAGCCTCCTGAGTAGCTGTGATTACATGCACGTGCCACTATACCCCGGTGTATTTTAACAACTCACAGAACCCATTGCAACTAGTGCATACCTGGCAATACAGATGTTTTGGATGTAAAACATCCTCAACCCATCTGGGCCAGGGATGTCATTTGCGGGAGCATTTCAAGTGCCTATTGCACATGACGGACATGCAGTAGGGACTAAAGTTGAATAAATGAAAGCCAAGTTACTGAATAAATGGAATCTCAAAAAATACCGATTTTACCTTTTATGCAATGACAAAGTACTGAATAGCATTTATTATAAAATCACAACCTACATAAACAGGGTATCAAATTAATTAAGTACTTACTGAGTAAACACTGAGAGCTAAAATTCTGGACAACTAGGCTGGGGCTATCAGTGAACAAGAAACAAACCACTACCCTCGTGGAGTTTTCATTTGTTTTATTCAGTAGTCAGGGAAGACAAAATATGTAAGTAAACCGTATCAGAAAAAGATAAATGTATTTTTAAATAAGGTAGCCAGGACAGTTCCTTTTGAGCTAGGACATAACTGAACAAACATCTGTGAAGTCATTAACCATGGGATATGGGGAAGGAAAAGGAGCAGAAAGGGACAGATAGCGCAAAGGCCTAAGACGGAAGCAAACCCAAGACTCCAAGTACCACAGGAGGCTAACAGGGCTGGAGCAAAGAGGGTGAGTAGTAAGGGAATTCATGGGGACAGCAGGGAGTACTACAGGAATTTGTAGGTTTTTATAGAAGATTAAATGTCACTTTATCAGACTTTTTAAGAATTTAAAGGACTAGGGGGAGAATGCCTCTCCTTGTTATGGAAGGACATCAAAGACCTCTGAATACATTCAAGCAAGTTTCAAATATTTTATTTTCTTATTCATACAGTATGAAGTTTTCTAAGATCCCACAACATGACGTATCATGCAGAAGAAAAACTAAACATTAAACATAAACTGCCCCCTCCCTTGCCCACCCCCACACACAAACTAAAAAAAAAAGAAGAACCCTCATTCCCCGGTAAGGAAATAATGTTTGCACTATTTTTTTTTTTGTAACGCCAGCCAAGATATGCACAAGCAAGAGAAATAGAAAGCATTTGCTAAAATATTTGTAACAAATACTTATGTACAAAAAATTCACAAAAGACTAGTTCCCCCTTGAAGCAGAGCACATGGCAGTTGACACTGGAACAGTTCAAACCGCTGGCTGGGATTATAAGCCATGCCACTGATCCAGAGGAAGAAAGTTACATGTAGTGGAGATTTTCAGTCTCAATGAACATTAACGTTTCCAAAGTTTGGCAACTTTATCTTTTAAAATTATGCAAATTATGTAAACAAGAGTTACATTTTAAATTGATCTACATGCAAAACTCCATGTCATGCAAGGACACCAAGCACCGGGATTTTTCTCTCACAGACAGAGCCCATGATGTGCAGCACTCAGTTGAAGGAACAGCGATGGCAGGCAGGTGTGCTCAATTTCAGATTCAGTCACCTTGATTCAACCTGCCCTTTTCCACTGATTTTAAAACCAGTTTTTATAGAAAAACTATAAAGGGAAAGACTACTGTCATAAAAAGCTAACCAAAATGTTTTTCTTCAAGCCAATAGTACCTTTGCAGAAAAGGGAAGGAATAAGATCAAATGGTAGAACATGATACACTACTTTTATATCACACAAATTTATTGAGTTATCCATTACCAATTATATGGGCAAATTTAAAAAAAACATCATGCATTCTCTATCCCTCATGGTAAAGAAATTTTAAGAGGTATAAATTTGGATAAAATTTTGCTCTTCTGTGGCATATAGATTAGCAAGATTTCTCACATTTAAACCACAAATATATATGGGTATTTAGATACATACATATTAAATATCACCAGTTTTTTAGATTAGCTGCAAGTCTTTTGAAACACAGAAGGGAAATTCATGATTCAAACACAAGTTTAATGACAAATTATTTACCCATGTAATCAAACAAATGGATATTCTAAGCAGTTACATGATCACTTCAGGTATTCTTCAGTAAGTGATACATATGATAAATCAGGATTGCCTCAGACAGCTTCTGGCCTTTATGTATAAAATCACAATTAGCACTTACATTACTGAGGGACATTTAATAAATGCAATGACTCCTAGTTACAAAGTAACAGAATGAAGCAGCCATAAGCACTGTGCAGTTATTATATGAACACAGGAACTAGCTCTTGGCAGTAGCAATGAACTAGACTTTCTCCTCAAGCAGAGGTGTATTAAAAGCTGCTCAGCAATGAGTAGTCGTCCCTGGAAATATATTCGTAAGTATAAATAAAGTTACAGACTCTTTTTGTTACAAAATTGTAATTAAGGTAAATAATAGGACATTAACAAATGCTTTGTCAATCTCAAAGGAGAAAGCACAGGAAAAGGAAAATAGCTGGCCTAAACACCCGGCTCCAATTGTACAGTCTTCTATCTATATATAAAACTGTGTGAAATAAAAGTAAGGACGTTTTATGTTCTGCTTGGCACTTTTGTACTCTATTGTTTTGTTTCTGAATCAAGTATATTAAATTAAAGCCAACCTACTACATATATAGAAAGCTACATATATCTATATATAAATATTTACATATGTATATATAGATACTTTCTTGTTATAAAAGATGAAGAAAAATAAATTAAAAAGCCAACCCCTTCCCTTTCTCCACCACATTGATATGCTCTTTTCATGGTGCTGTCCTTCAGACTTTAAAGTGCTACACTGAGTTATTGAGAGAATTAGAGTTCAATAACACTTAGTTGGCTTCATGAGGCTCATGTTGGAAAATGTGGCTTCACAGAGAAAAATACTTCCATTTAAATACACAGAGAGCATTGCTGGACGTCTTGAGCAGATCTTCAGAGATGGAGAAGAAAGCAAAAGTGTTGGGTGGTACTCTCTGATAAGAGTCACACATCTACCACCATCTTTTTGTGGATATCTAGGCCACCTACAACCTGCAACAGACAGGAACAAATCAAGCTTAATAATATTTTGAGAAACTCCTCATTTGTGGTCTAACTACTTCATCAAACTACAATTAAAAAAATATATACTACTTTAGCTATATTCAGAAGGTGAATTTAAAGACAGAAAAACAAAACAACAAAACTTGAGTGACCTCCAGTTAGAATTATCATTTCTTTCTCCTAGGACAACCAGGCATACTTTTTGTGTGTGTTCTTGTACAAGGGACAGACAGTAAATATTTCAAGTTTTGTAGGCTACATGTAGTTTCTTTCACGTTTTTTTTTTCAAAATGACACTTAAAAAGGTAAAAATAATTCTTAGTTGAAAAACAGACATAAACAGGTCATATGAGGGCAGGGTCTGGTTTGCTCTGCAGTTTGTCAGCCCTTACATTTCATTAGTTTAATATTACACAATAACCAGACATTATCACAAAACTGTCCTCACATTCAAACTGTTCTAGAAATTTTTAAAAGTACCAAGTGAATAAACATTTCTGCATATTATTTTTCTGTAGAGTCAAATACATGTAGTTATATACATCTCAGTGAATACTGACATGGTAATATGAAAGTGTAATATCTTTATCATTTGGGGGGAATGTTTTATTACATTTAATCTACATAAAGAGAATGCCAGGTCATAAATGTCCACAGTTTGATGAAATTTCACAAAGTGAACACCCAATAACCAGCATCCAGACCTTCCAGTCACCAGACATCTCCCCTCCTCCCACCCAACACATAAAACACACACACACACACACACACCCCTCCCCAGTAACTAGTATTTTCTGCTTTTAAATATTTTATAAATGGAATCTCTTTCATGTCTGGCTTCTCTCAACTTTGTGCTTGTGAGATTAATCCATACTGTTATGTACACTTGTATCTAAATTATTTTTTAATTCAAACTAAAAAATAGCCCTTTTATTTGAAAAGTAAAGCATAAATAACCAATTAATTCTACAACTCCTGCAGTGAAAGAAAAAGCAGTTTGCCACACTGCCCTCATTCTCTATTTGCTTTTATGCAGTGGCAATAATTTAAAGTTTTCAGCTGACTTTCACTATTTACCTCCAGGTCTCCAAGTAACTGCCTATCCACCACAGAAGAGGAAGATTTTTAGCTTTCACACACTTCTCTCCCCTCTATCTTCTACCCTATACACTTCCCAAACTCTGTACCATTCCAATGGCTTTATCTTTATTTTCATTAGAAATTCAGCATTTTTCAGCTGGGTGCGGTGGCTCATGCCTGTAATCCCAGCACTTTGGGAGGCTGAGGTGGGCAGATCACTAGAGGTCGGAGTTCAATACCAGCCTGACCAACATGGTGAAACCAGGTCTCTAATCCAAAGGAAAAAACAAAAAACCCAGCATTTCTCATTGTTATAACTATGCAATACAGCTAAACACAACCATATACTATGATTACTTTATTTTTTTGTTGTTTTGAAAAGGAGTCTCGCTCTGTCGCCCAGGCTGGCATGCAGTGACGCAATCTCAGCTCACTGCAGCCTCCACCTCACAGGTTAAAGCAATTCTCTTGTCTCAGCCTCCCAAGTAGCTGGGACTACAGGTGCATGCCACCACACCCAACTATATACTATGATTACTTTCTCTTTCCTGCACATTTGTTTGGTACCAGTTAATAACTGATCTTTCCTTTGCTAGGTGTTCTACATAATTACAATTCAACCCCTAACTTTTGTTCTAAGTACATTCAACTAAAAATATTATGTAATTCTATCAATTTTATTGTCTTGAAGGCACTCTTTGAGCCTTCCAACCTGCTATACTTTAGACTGTTTGTCTCCAGGCCTATCACCTCTGGTTCTCTTCATCATATTGGGGGCCCCTCCCTCTCATGCTGGACCCTCTGCTTCCTGGATCCTACATTCTCTACTTTTTGATTTATGACCTTCTTGTATTGGAGCACATCTTCCAGAAGTTTCCAAAATGAGAAGGACTTACATACCTAAAAGTGTCTTTCTATTACCATTTAATTTAAGTTTATAGAGAATTTTAAGTTGGAAATAACTGTCGCTCAGAATTGCAAAGGCAAAATATGCTCCATGTTCTTCTGGGTTTTCAATACTGCTACTAAGAAATCTGGTGCCATTATGACTCTTGGTTGTTTATACCAAGCCCCCTCTCACCCCTCCACCCTACCACCCTAGCTCTTTGGAAATCTGTAGAACCAGTTATTTGTTCCCACTGTTTCAACAATATTTCATAACAGTGTGCCCAGGTCCAGATTATTTTTACAGACTATGCTGGATGCTCCATAAGCCCTCTCAGAAAACACATTAGTTTTGGCTTTGGAGTATTTTCTTGATTCATTTTTGATGATTTCTTTCCCTCCACTTTCCTTCTGGAGCCCCTAGCATTCAGGTAGTATGACTCCGAAAATAAGTATCTAAAATTTCATTTCCAAGAGCTCTTTTATATATTATCCACCTTTGTTTCAAAAGCTCAATATACACTATCCCCGAAGATAATGACAGGTTTCAGTTTTGCCTTTTAAGTTTTTACTGCTCTTGCCTAATCTGTTTGTTTAAATTTATTTTTTTTTGGACTTGGTTTCATCTCTATATTCCATACATAGAGGTTTCTTTCAGTGTCTTGTGATACTTGGCTTTGCTTCTGTAGAAAGGGCACTGGAACTCTGGGTACATGATGGGGCTGTTGACTGAGAGCCACACTTTGAGTGATCTGGTAGCACCATTTCTTTAGGGAGATAAGATTTTCTAAAGAGGGCTCTTTCCCATCTCTTGCCTAGACAGTGTTAAGTCCAGCCACTAGGGAGTCAGGAAGTCAGGTACAGAAGAAGGGCAGCAATGTCAATATGCAAATATGCTTACTATCCACTTAAGTTTCCCAACACATACACCCCATCTCTGCCTCACATTTCCCGACCTGGAGACTCTCTCCAGTCTCTTGATATGGTGCAGGACAGACAGCTGTCCAGCTGAACAGAGAAGGGAAGGAGATCTAGAGTTCCAATTCCTTCTTAAAACAGACTTAAACCAATCTTCTGTTTTTAACTTCACTTTCATCCTCACTTCCAGTTGCTTGTGCCAACAATTTCTGAACCTTTCATGGATTCTCTATTATAACCTAGGTTGGTTCTCAGATTTCCAAGCTGACAGAGATTAGAATCATTCTGCTAGGTTAACCATTCGACTTTCTAAATTACCAAATTTAGATACTGTCTTCTCTGCTCATAACCATTTCTTTTTGTGAGTTCATAACCCTTTCTTTCTAATTCATTTCATTTTATTGTAGTTTGGGGAGTAAGTGAAAATAAATACATGGGTTCAATCCATCAACTTTAAGCCTGTCATTAATCATTTGTAAGAATTACTTGTATATGTTAAGTATTCTGAAAATTTTAAAGTACACATATAGTTTGCAATCTTTTAAAATGACTTCCAATCTTTCTCTTCTATAGCTTGAGAAGCCAAAATAAAAAGAATTCAATGAAATCAAAGTTACAAGTGCTTGATTAATGTTTAGAAAAGCTGGTTTTAAATACACAATGAACATTTTTCTCCCCTCATAAACTATGCCCGTAAAAAATACAAGCAAAAAGCGGCCAGGCGTGGTGGCTCACACCTGTAATCCCAGCATTTTGGGAGGCTGAGGCAGGTGGATCACAAAGTCAGGAGTTCAAGACCAGCCTGGCCAAAATGGTGAAACCCCGCCTCTACTAAAAACAAAAAAATTAGCCAGGCGCAGTGACGGGCACCTGTAATCCCAGCTACTCAGGAAGCTGAGGCAGGACAATCGCTTGAACCCAGGAGGTAGAGGTTGCACTAAGCTGAGATTGTGCCACTGCACTCTAGCCTGGGTGACAGAGCAAGACTCCATCTCAAAAAACAAACAAACAAACAAAAAAAACAAGCAAAAGGCAATTGATTACAAATACTGGAGGCCAGACATAGTGGCTCATGCCTATAATCCCAATGCTTTGGGAGGCTGAAATGGGACAATCGCTTGAAGCCAAGAGTTGGAGACCAGCCTGGGCAACATAGCAAGACCCCATCTACAAAAACTTAAACTAAAATAAACACTGGAAAATAAACTCAAAACTTAGCTTATATTTTCTTTTTTTGGGGGGGGGGATGGAGTTTCGCTCTTGTTACCCAGGCTGGAGTGCAATGGCGCGATCTTGGCTCACCGCAACCTCCGCCTCCTGGGTTCAGGCAATTCTCCTGCCTCAGCCTCCTGAGTAGCTGGGATTACAGGCACGTGCCACCATGCCCAGCTAATTTTTTGTATTTTTAGTAGAGACAGGGTTTCACCGTGTTGACCAGGATGGTCTCAATCTCTTGACCTCGTGATCCACCCGCCTTGGCCTCCCAAAGTGCTGGGATTACAGGCTTGAGCCACCTGCGCCCGGCCTAGCTTATATTTTCAATATAGATAACTGCATTATTTCTATATATAAAATGTTTTAATTCCTTCCACTGATAAGTGATACATTTATATATATATAAATATATACATACACGTAAAAGATATATGTGTGTATATATATTCTCTCTTCCAATACCATTGAAGCTAAGAACTTTCCATTTATTTTATTCCCCTAAGGCTTAGAATCTCTTTTTTTTTTTTTTTTTGAGACGGAGTTTCGCTCGTTACCCAGGCTGGAGTGCAATGGCGCGATCTTGGCTCACCGCAACCTCCGCCTCCCGGGTTCAGGCAATTCTCCTGCCCCAGCCTCCTGAGTCGCTGGGATTACAGGCACACGCCACCATGCCCAGCTAATTTTTTGTATTTTTAGTAGAGACGGGGTTTCACCATGTTGACCAGGATGGTCTCGATCTCTTGACCTCGTGATCCACCCGCCTCGGCCTCCCACAGTGCTGGGATTACAGGCTTGAGCCACCGCGCCCGGCCCTAGAATCTCTTTTCTTTCTTTTGAAAACTGGCTATTTATTATGGCACTACCAGCCTGGTCTCACATCACAATCAACCATATGCCAGTCCATAGGAGTCCTTCAGTGATCCTTGGCAATGGTGAAAGAAGCGAAATGGAAGGAACAGCAAACGCTTGCAGTAGTGCCCCCTGGGAGTAGTTCAGTGTCTTAAGTCTCAAACCCATCCAAACTCTTCCAAAAAGATGCAGTCTGTTGTTTACACTACGGTGCCACCCTACTTTTTAAAAACAAAATAAAAAGATGGTTTTTGTTTTAGGATAGTATGAACTTCTACTTAAAAGGTTAAAGTAGCTAAATGTCAGTTCTTGCATAACACACAACAATCAAACTGACTTGTTTTTCCTTGTGTGATTTAAATTTAAAAACAAAAAGGAGGAAGAAAACCTTCCTATAGAGACAATCATTACTAACAGAAAAATTTCAAAAATATTTGTTACCTTTGTCTCTATATGCTCTAGTTTACTCTAGTATCTCTAGCTTACAGTTTAAAATGCTTCTAACATATCAAAAAAGCTAATATCTTTGCTATCTTTGCTTTTAGGGCAGAGATAGAGAAGAGAAACTAAGTGGTTGTGGTTGTGCTTCTGTTCAGAAGCAATGAGTGATTAAATGAACCTGAAGAGTATAACCTAGTTGTAATTTGAGGGGCTACCAACAGTAAGTAAAGTGGTATCCCTGTGGCATTTGCTCAGAGGATCACTGACAATGTTAATTCTTGAGAATAATCATTGTTAATTACTAATAATTACAACAAAGAACATATTTCAAAACAGAATATAAGCAATTAGGAAAAATCAAATATATAGATTTTCAGGACAAAATAGAAGAAATTCTCTATTAAGTGCTTTTCAAAATATGTTGCTGAAACATAACTAATGGAAGAACCATCTCTTTTGTACTTACAGCACAGAATTCTTCAAAGGATATTCTTCCATCTCCATCCTTATCTGCATTTATTATGGTTTTGTCTACAATTTGCTGTAACTGTGTATCTTTCAGATTGTTCCCCACCATCATCTTCAATACCTGGAAGAGTTCCCCATTGGAAATATAGCCATCTTTATCCATGTCATAGATACGGAAAGCAACTAAAAAAAGGGAAGGAAAATCAATTGCAATTACAAGGCAATCACAAGTAAATACTTTCAATAAGAAAGAAAATAGTAAATTGACAAACAACAAAATTATGATTATGAGGATGTCTCCTTCCTAAATATACAGTTGTCCTTAGGCACAGTTTAACATAGCTGATTAAAAGTATGGGCTTTGGAGTGAAGACTACCTGAGCCGATTTAGTATAGCTTAGAGTAAGTTAACTATCCTTTGCTAAGCTTCAGTTTCTGCACAGAAAAAAACTATGTATAATAACTCCAACCTCTCCAGTTCTTTAGAACATTTCTTATTACTTTCACTAAAAAAATCTCTTATTTAAATTACGTATGTAGCTTATATGGCTGTTTTCAGTAGAAAGAAATTGTTTTCCTTCTATCCAACTAAAAGCAGCAATGGCACATTATTCAAATATAGTAGTTGCAAATGTCCTAAAAGGATTTTCACCAGAATATAAAATTTCTGTTATGTCTATGGATCTGGAATAAAAGACATCTTTTCCATTATTTTAAAAAATATTTTATAATACAGTATGAAATGACGGTAGTGTAAGAGTGAGAATGAAGTCAGTGAAGAAAAATACTTACACCTCAACTTCTGCTCCTTATCTCCTTTGACACTGAACTGAGAGACTCCCTCAATGAATTCTGAATAAGAGTTAAAAATGTTCACAAATCAGAACTTCCAGTTTTTTACACAGAAAAACATATATACCTTACGTAGCCACAAAAGGATATTTCCTTGCTGCAAAACAAAAGTACTACTAGCAACATTTAAAAATTAAATTCCCAAATTTGAAACCTCAACAAAGTTTCTCTGTAATTTTTTATTTGAACTTGGAGTTCTCTAAGGTCAATCAATTTGAACAAATATTTGTTAAGTGCAAGACAAAAGAACACTCAAAACATATTCTTTAATTTGTTAAACTCTTTCCTCTTGGAATATGGCTATAACAAGGAGCTTTAAAAAAACACTATCAATTATTCGGACACAACAAAAGTAACTTAGGATTTCTGTTCCAAAATTGTAAATCACTTAAATATGCTGTTAGAATTTTCATGACAAAAATTCATTTTTCTTCACTGCCTGATAAGCACTAAGTCATAATCAGTTTTATATCCTTCCACTTACAATTCTGTTCTCCAAACTAAAATAACAGAATGTACTGTCAGTTCCCTAGTGAAATGTTTATTTGCTTGTTTAAAAAAAACTGGCCAGGTACAGTGGCTCATGGCTGTAATCCCAGCACTTTGGGAGGCAGAGGCAGCTGGATCACTTGAGATCAAGAGTTTGAGATCAGCCTGGCCAACATGGTGAAACCCCGTCTCTACTAAAAATACAAAAATTAGCCAGGCATGGGTGGCACAAGCCTGTAATGCCAGCTACTCGGGAGGCTGAGGCAGGAGAACTGCTTGAACCCAGGAGGTGGAGGTTACAGTGAGCCAAGATCACACCACTGCACTCCTGCCCTGGGCAAAACAGTGAGACTCCATTTCAAAAAACAAAACAAAACAAAACAAAAACAAAAACAAAAAAAAAAAAGAAAGAAAAGAACTTGCAACTTCTAATATTGAATATAACAATATATAGTATTGCCCTAAAGTGAGATTAATTTTCTAAAAAGAAAGGAAATACTGAGTCTCCCCCACTTTTTGGTAGATTATCCTAAAGAACAACTTATTTATAAACCACAAAGTGAAAGATCCTAGTTCATTAAGGTGCATATGCCACAGATGTTGAGGTTTTAACATAATTTATTATTGTAAGATCACAAGTAATATAAACACATTTTTGTTTTTACACAGAGCTATAGGAATACACATAGGTTACCTAACTTGAGATTAAAAAAAAATAATAACTATTTTCTTACCTTTAAAGTCTACTTCTCCATTCCCATCTGTGTCGAATATATCTATTACTCGCTGTACTAAGGGATTCTGTTGTAACTCAGGCAGAGACATGAACTCTTCCACACTCAAAGAACCAGAATTGTCCAAATCGAGCTTCTTAAATCTCTTTCCTAGCCTTTTAATTTCATCTGCATCAACTAAAAGCAAACAAAAAAGGTAGCAAGAAATTAAAAAAATTTTCCCAAATCCTTTCTAATGGGCAGTAGCAAGATTTTGAAAAAATTTAATAATAGTTATAGGGGAAATAAAATCCAAAAGTTATCCAATAGTTTAATTTCCAATTTGATAAAAAGAGGTACATATTATACTGTTGACTAATTTCTTCTAATAGAGTAAGTACAACATAAATATTTGTATTTGGTTACCTTTCTGTTTGTTTGCATCTGCCATTACATACATCTGCTGTATGCTGAGTCTCAAGACATTGCAGTTCTGATAATGTTAAGCTGATCATGGAGGTTATACAAGATATTTCAGGACTGACAATGCTAAGCTGATCACGGAGGTTCTACCAGACAGGCTGAATCAACCTCTGCTCTGTTCTGTACTTTCATTTTCATTTTTCTTGTTAAATTTTAATTGACTTTATTTCTAATAGTTCATGACTCAAAATCCAAAGGGTATTCAAAATTCAAAGTTTCCCTGCTTTCCTACCCCGAGATATCCATTCCCTTTCCCTGAAAGCAATGCTGCCAGTTTCCTGAATATTCTTCCAGAGAGACTTTGCAAGTATGAGCAAATAAGCCAGCTTTTACTTAACAACCAAATAGCTAACAAAATTCACTTATCAACACTTTAAAAGAGAAAGAATAACTAAAAAGAAATGTTTACATTAGTTTGTAAGTACTCTAAATAAAAGTTCAGTGTCAGATCTCTTATATACGTTCTTGAAAAAAACAAGTTAAACGGTTTTCTTCTGAATTACATCATTTTCATTTCTTTAAAATATCTAATATACGTAAGTAATTTTGATCATGACTTAACAGAAATAACACTTACAAATATATTTTTAAAATTAAATACACCAGACCAGGCACAATGGCTCACGCCTGTAATCCCAGCACTTTGGAAGGCCAAGACAGATGGATCACTAGTGGTCAGGAGTTAAAGACCAGCCTGGCCAACATGGTGAAACCCTACCTCTACTAAAAATACAAAAATCAGCCGGGCATGGTGGCATGCACCTGTAATCCCAGCTAGCAGGGAGGCTGAAGCAGGAAAATTGCTTAAACCTGGGAAGTGGAGGTTGCAGTGAGCTAAGATCACGCCAATGCATTCCAGCAATCAATCAATAAACATATATTAAATACAACAACTTTTAAAAAGAAAATTAAGAAGGTAAATGTTATACTGTCCATAAGTATATATGTATCATGGCCCACAAGGCTAGAAAAGAAGAAATACAAGCTGTTTTGACAGTCTAAATATATGGCATCCTCACTTTAAGAACGTAATAAAGTATGTATTTTAAAATATAAATTATATTAAAATGGAGAATGACAATTATCTATACTATCAAAGTAAAAACTGTAACTGCAAGATGATGCTCTAATATGAATTAGTTCACACATAATTGGTAAAGAGGAAGGAGAACAGTATTGTCAGTATTCACAGAAATTTCATAGGTTCACAGGGATTTTTCATAGTATGTTATAAAGGAATCGGGCAAGTTCCTTAAAAACACACACACACACACAAACAAAAACCAACAACCTCATATATGAAGACCTTAAGAAAAAAATAGTGCAAAGAGGTATCTTCATTTCAAGAAAACACGTTTAGTGGCTTCAAAAAGCTCAAGGCTTCTATCATTGTTAGGGTGTCTGGTGAAACCTGTTGTAAAGACACAGATGAAAGTTGTTTTTATGCTACCCCTTACCCCTAGAAACTGTTAATAAAGGCAGCCATATACTGGCTCACTATTAAATTGTAGAAAAGTAGTTTCTACTAAAGCAAATAACTTCAAGAACCATACCTCAAAAGAAGCCAAGCCCCCATTTACGGCTCATCAGTGATGGGCTGTGTATGGTGTTTTATTTTTAAAGAGTTAATTTGTACTTGTATTTTTAATATCATTATTATGTTAATACTGTTACAGAGCTGCGTAATTTGAATGGCCTACTCTATCCATATTTGTCCCAGATATGATTTCATGGCATGTGAGGTTTTCTGGAAAACATGTATCAGAAATGCTGTGATTTAATGAAAAATTTATCTAAATAGTGCTGCAAACAGAAAAATACATAAACAGTCATGAGTCACTTAACAATGGGGATATACTGAGAAATGCATCATCATTAGATTTTCATCACAGTGTGAATATCAGAGTGTACTTACACAAACCTAGGTGGTACAGCCTATTACACACCTAAGCTATATCTGTACAGCATGTTACTGTACTGAATGTTGTAGGCAACTGTAACACAATGTTAAATATTTGTGTATCTAAACATATCTAAACATTAAAAAGGCACAGTAAAGGTATAGTATGAGAATTTTTTTTATATAGTATACCTATATAGGGAACTTACCATGAAAGGAGCCTGAAGGACTGGAAGCTGCTTTGGGTGAGTCGGTGAATGAGTGGTAAGTTAATGTAAGGGCCTAGGACATTACTGCAGACTTTATAAACTCTGTATACTTAGGCTACATTAGGCAATAGGAATTTTTCACCTCCATTATATTCTTATGGAACCACTGTGTATACGTGGTCACTGACCAAAAATTATTATATAGCACATGAATGTATATAAGCAATCTGATCAAAAGTTCAAATAAACATTTCATAAGCACATCAACTACATAAAGCATTTCATCCCTCTATTAAAGAGCATTCCTTCTTCAATGGAGTATGTGACATAAAAGGAAACTGTTCAAATAAATCTTATTTCCCCATTTTCTATCTATGAAATGACATACCCATACTCTTGAAAGAGAAAAAATGTAACGAAAGTCCTACAAATGCTTTCACTTATTTATTTACATGTCTCCTCCAACTCAGGGCAGAGTCCATGACTTTTTCATTGGTGCTCTGAGCATCACATATAACAGGCGCATAATAATAGTTTTAATAATGTTTTAAGTGTTAATAAGTATTTCAAATTTAAAACTTATTAAAATGTCATCAGTATTTAAAGTAAAACCACTAGCTAACCAGGTACCAATCAGCAAACCATTCACAACAGTTTCACAAAGTTCATAGATTTTGCTGAATAGCTACCCTCTCCATGCTTGCCTTAATTTTTTACACTTATGCCAAGGATTATTTTCTTCTTCCAATCTTTAGTTTTGCTTTAGCTTACAACCACAGACTAGGAAAGGTGATGGGAAAATTAAACACAGATCACTAAGGTGATCTATTATGAGTGGATGAGAAAAAGACAATGTCTCCACACACTTTAAGGGGATAAATCAGGATCATTTTCTCCAGGCTGTATGATTAATGGGAAGAGAAAAAGCAGAAATGTAGTACTATAATATTTATGCAGACTATTTATCAGAGTCTATATATTGACGCTGGGACATAAATTATAGTTTAGAAAGTTGTTTATCAAGAAACTGAAATTGAGGCACTTAAAAAAGGATGATGTTTTAGTTACAAAAATCCTCTAATCCAGAAGACAGCATTCCAGTCTTAATAAATGAATAAAAAATATTAGGAATATTTGAGAATAAAGAATCATTAAATCAAATAAATATATTTGGTTCAATCCATCTTATTTACACTGCCAACAGTAATCTTTCTAAAGGGCAAATTCAGCCAAATGGCTAGCTCCTGTGCTTTACATTTTCTAGTGGCTTTCTAATACAAACAAGATTAAAAAGTCTAAAGCCCTTGACAATATTTAGCCTCAATTTAAACGTCCATCTTATCTCTTTTCCCATTTCCTTTTCTTTGGCGACAATGCTTTTGGTACAACTCTGCTGTAGATTTTATACCTCCATTTCCTTATAAACCCCCTGCTGGACTGTCCTTTCATGAATTCTCCATTTATGAGACATCTATCAATTTTTCTCTGATAAAAGAAAGGGGTTTGTTAATAATGATTTATCTTATAGTTGTATCATTACCTCACTCTCTGGCAAAAGCCCTTAGAAGCAGTAGTTAAAAATTTATTTACTTTCTCTTGTTTTAATATCTTACAAAATATTATAAAGTAGTTGATACTTGTTCTGGATGAGCAGTCAAAACTTTCCTCACAAGGCAAAGCAATGTGCCAGTGATCACATTTTACCTTGACAATAAATGACTTCTTAGAAGGCCCCTTCAGTATATGACTAGGAGGGAACAAGCTCTATCTACATTCTCACATACCCCATGTAGCTAAAACTGACCTTGAGTGAAGAAGCCAGTGCAGTGTGTAAGGAGGCAGTATCTTTTCTCCAACCACTCATTTCCTCATCTCCCTTCCCTCCTTTTTTTTTTCCCCCCATTTATTTATTTTATTGCATTTTAGGTTTTGGGGTACATTTGAAAAACATGCAAAATTGTTGCATAGGTACACATGTGGCAGTGTGATTTGCTGCCTTCCTCCCCATCACCTACATCTGGCATTTCTCCCCTTGCTAGCTCTCCCCAGCTCCCCACCCCCCACCGCCCCTCCCCTATTTCCCCCCAACTGACCCCAGTGTGTAGTGCTTCCCTCCCTGTGTCCATGTGTTCTCATTGTTCAACAACTGCCTATGAGTGAGAACATGTGGTGTTTGATCTTCTGCTCTTCTGTCAGTTTGCTGAGAATGATGGTTTCCAGGTTCATCCATGTCCCTACAAAGGACCCAAACTCATCGTTTTTGATGGCTGCATAATATTCCATGGTGTATATGTGCCACATTTTCCCTATCCACTCTATCATCGTTGGGCATTTGGGTTGGTTCCAGGTCTTTGCTATTGTAAACAGTGCTGCAATGAACATTCGTGTGCACGTGTCCTTATAGTAGAACGATTTGTAATCCTTTGGATATATACCCAGTAATGGGATTGCTGGGTCAAATGGAATTTCTATTTCTAGGTCCTTGAGGAATTGCCACACTGCCTTCCACAATGGTTGAACTAATTTACACTCTCTCCCTTCCTTCCTTTCAACTAGGATTACAATGATGAGTCAGACAGAATAAATACTCAGTATTTACTATCTAGTTGAGGCTGAGCAACTAGAGGAATCCATACCTAAATATCCAGAATATTTTTAAATGGCTAGCTTGGAAAGCAACGCCATAAAAAAATTTTAAAGCCAAAATCTAAGGAAGTTAGCTTTCAGAAACAAATGGCAAAAATAGTTATTTTAGGTATCAAACAAAATGATTTATTTGGTCATTACTGTCACCGGAGAAGCAGTTATTTCAATACTTCCACTTGCCAGCAATGCTGCTGTGTTGCAGTAGAATATTAGAGCATGAAACAGAGTTTTAATTCTTGAAATATTAGCATTAGCAATCACCTACAAACTGGGAACAGATCTCCAAACATAGATCAAACCCATCCTGCTAGCACCATTAAATTTAGTTTCAGTATATTCATAGAAGATCAGCACGTAGCACCTGTTAAATACTGAAGAACAAATTCCAACTTTCAGTGCCACCTTTCATTAAATATATTTTGTTTCCTATTGCTTGGGATCAAATTCCCTTAAAAGAGATGGACAAAAACAAACAAACCTCACCCTCTTGACTCATCTTGTGACTCAGAGATACTCTTTTTCATATGTTTTGCCAGGTTGAAATTCATGTTATTTTTCTACTTTTTGGAAAAACAACTTTGGGAGGAATGCCTTAACAGTTGAAAATGCCTACACATTCAATTGAAATTATATTAGACAAAATATTAAAATAATCTTCTCAAGTCATACACTGTTAGCTAAAATTTAAGCAAGGTGGCAAAAACTTAGGTATTTTAGTCAGAGTTTACAAGGTATA